CGATCACGGAGAAAGAGGCTTCAATTGAACAGCTTAATATCGATCTAGAAGCAGCTAAGATGGCTGAGACATACGCACATGGGTTAGTAGAAGAATGGAAAAACCGAGCTGAGGATCTAGAAACACAATTAGAGAACACAAATAAGCTCGAACGATCGGCATCGGAGTCTCTCGAATCTGTGATGAAACAATTGGGACACAACAATGATCTATTGCATAATGCAGAGCTTGAGATTTCAGCTTTAAAAGAACAGATAGGTTTGCTGGAAATGACTGTTAAAAGACAGAAAGACGACATGAAAGAGTCGGAGCAGCATCTTCATCGTACAAAGGAAAAAACATCAGAAATGGAGAAGTTGGTTGTGTCACTGAGGTTTCAGCTGGAAACTGTCATGGAAGAGAAAACTCAAGCTTTGAATAATGAGAAGCTTGCAGCTTCAAGTGTACAAAGGCTATTAGAAGAGAAAAACCAGCTCTTAAATGAGCTAGAAACCTCCAAGAATGAGGAAGAGAAGAGCAAAAAGGCAATGGAAAGCTTGGCATCTGCATTACACGAAATCTCATCCGAGGCGAGGGAAACCAAGGAAAAGCTCTTGTCTACTCAAGCCGAGCACGAAAACTACGAATCCGAGATAGAGAATCTTAAGATGGTCTTGAAAGCTACAAACGAGCGATTTGAAAGCATGCTCGAAAACTCAAACCACGAGATCGATATTCTAACGAGTACCGTTGAGGAATCGAAGCACAAATTCGAGACTTCGAAGGCTGAATGGAACGAGAAAGAGCTTCACCTGGTGGACGCTATGAAGAAATCAGAAGAAGAGAACTCTTACTTAGAAAAAGAAATAGATAGGCTTGTGAATTTGCTTAAACATACTGAGGAAGATGCTTGTAAGATGAGGGAAGAAGAAGCTCAGCTAAAGGATAGCTTCAAGGAAGTAGAAGCGGAAGTGATCTATTTGCAGGAGGTGCTCGGAGAAGCGAAATCCGAGAGCGTGAAACTGAAGGAAAGCTTGCTAGACAAAGAGAACGAGTTGCAGAACGTTCATCAAGAAAACGAGGAGCTTCGAACTCGGGAAGCTGTTTCTCTTAAGAAAGTTGAGGAATTATCCAAGTTGCTTGAGGAAGCTTCTGCTAAAATGCAAACCGTAGAGAACGGTGAGCCAACGGACAGCGAGAAGGACTACGATTTACTACCGAAAGTAGTCGAATTCTCCGAAGAGAACGGTAAACGACAGGAAGAGAAGAACAAAGTGGAGCCATTGATACCCATTGAACATGAAGAACACAAATTTGAGTTTCCATGGGTAGATAATGGTGCTGATTCAGTCGACAAGACGGAGAAAACGGACTCGGAAACAACGGTTCCAAACGGAATCGATAAACCAAAAGAAGAAGAGAAAAAAGATGAATCAGTTCAAGTTGAATACAAAATGTGGGAGAGCTGCAAGATTGAAAAGAAAGAGTTCTCACAAGAGGGAGGAGAACAACAAGAACACGAATCCATTGATGACGAAGGGGACTCGAAAGCAGAGGGCGGAGAGAGTTTTGATCGGATAAACGGGGTAAGTTCAGAAAATGTAGACGATGGTGGAAACTCGCCGTCGAAGCAGCTGCCGCCGCAGCAGGAACAGAAGAAGAAGAAGCCATTGCTGAAAAAGTTTGGATATCTTCTGAAGAAGAAGAACAGTGTGAACCAGAAACAGTGATATACATAGTAATTTTGAGGTGAATTGGTTTGGTTATGATATTGTTTCTGTTCTAATGATATTCTGAATAGGTGTTTGGTGGACAGTAGAGTTTCTTGTATGTTATTGGAATATTTGTTTTGTTCATTGTTTTAATGCCTTCCTTCATTACTGATCTAGAGTTCATGAAAAGGAGTGATTACTTGAGCTTGTATCATCATCATCATCATCTTCATCTTCCATCCATTATAGACATTCTTTGTTAGCGGTTGTAAATTCATACGGTTTGTTTGTTTGTTAGTAGATGTTGTCTGTTTTGGCCGATTATGTATCGTCGTTAGCTTCACAGTTTTTGAAACACGTCTATTAGGGAAAGATTCTACACTTTTATAAGGAATGTTTCGTTCTCGTCTCCAACTGATGTAGGTTGAGAAAGGTTTCTACACTCTTATAAGAAATGTTTCGTTCTCGTCTCCAACTGATGTGGGTAAGGAAAGGTTTTTACACTCTTATAAGAAATGTTTCGTTCTCGTCTCCAACTGATGTGGGTAGGGACAGGTTTCTACACTCTTATAAGAAATGTTTTGTTCTCTTCTCCAATCGATATAGGATCTCACAACCCATTCCTTTAGGGACTCAACGTTTTCGTAGACATACTGTTTAATGTCTAGCTCTACTCAAATTGTAACAGCTCAAGCCCATCGTTAGCAGATATTGTCCTCTTTAACTTGTTACATATTGCTATTAGCCTCACTGTTTTTAAAATATGTCTATTAAGAAAAGGTTTCTACACCCTTATATGAAATGATTCGTTCCTCTCTCTAACCGATGTGGGGCCTCATAGTCAAAACGTGTCTATTAAGAAAAGGTTTCTACACCCTTATAAGAAATGATTCGTTTCCCTCTCTAACCGATGTGGGGTCTCATAGTCCACCTCTTTAGGGACTCAGCATCCTCGCTGACATATCGTATAGTGTCTCTACACCCTTATAAAGAATGTTTCGATCATACAACTTACCCCGGACCTAGCATCCTCGCTGGCATACTGTTCGGTGTCTGGGTTTGATACCATTTGTAAAATTCCAAGCCTACCGCTAGTAAATATTGTCTGCTTTGGTCCGTTACGTACCGCCATTAGTATCACGGTTTTTAAAACGCGTGTATTAGAAAAAGGTTTCCACACCCTTGTAAAGAATGTTTTGTTTCCCTCTTCAACCAACGTGGGATCTCACAACCCACCCTAATAGGGACGCAACGTCCTCGCTGGCATATCGTTTGGTGATTGGCTCTACTCAAATTGTAACAACCCAAGCACACCACTAGCAAATATTGTCCACTTTAGCTTATTACGTATCGTTGGTAGTCTCACAATTTTTAAAACGCGTCTATTAGAGAAAAGGTTTTCACACCCTTATGAGGAATGAAACCGATGTGGGATCTCACAATTCACCTCTCCTAAGGGACATAGTGTCCTAGCTGCCATACTGTCCAGTGTTCGACTCGGATACCATTTGTAACAGTTCAAACCTACTGCTATCCATCGATAGACTTGACCGGTTACATAAATGTCATTGAGTTGATCGTTGATCGGATCTTTGGACACTTTGGGCATTGAATGAATGAATGGATGGATGGTGTGTTTTGATAGTTTGAAGTGAAATGAAAGCAAGAAATGTGGTACTCATTTGTTTAATAGTGAGTCATAGAATCTGTGGTTTGGAAATGTTACCTAAATTAGTTGCCTCAAATAATCACCAAACATTGTCTCTCTCTCTCTGGGGGCCTTTCAAAACCACATCCATTCATATTCTTTATTTATTTAATAATATTATTATTATTCTAATAAAAATAGAATTAAAATTAATATTACATTAAAGAAAAAAACAAAAAGAAAGTAGAAATTGAAACCTTACCAAAATGCAAAATTGTTATATTATAAGAATAATAAATAATCGGATCTAATTGGAACATGAAAATAATGACGATAATAGACATTCCAACTAACAATAATAATTATTATTATTAGTGAAGTTTGAATAATAAACTTTACCTAAATATATGTTTTAGTTTTTAATATTAAGGGCAAAAATTAATTCCTTATAATATTAACATTTTTCAATTAAAAATAGTTATTTTATTGGGTATTTTTCTTAGTTGTACGAACATTATTAGATCATGTTATCACGTCAATGATGAAGAGTTGACTATCTATCAAAGGACAAGGAAATGATGTAATAAGTTTGACTCGATAAAATTTTATGGGTCAAATTGTAACCGCTCAAACTCACTACTAGTAGACATAGTCTTTTTTAGACTTTTTCTATCGGGTTTTCCTTTAAAGATTTTAAAACGTGTCTGCTAGAAAGAGGTTTGAACACCCTTATAAAAAAATGTGGGATCGGTCAATAGATTCAGTGAGTCAAATTGTAATAACTTAAGCCCGTGAATATTGTCCTTACTCAAAAAATTAAAGAAAAAAAACGATTCAACCTCTCTAAACGCGGATTGGTCCGCCGACAGACACCGCCGACAGACACCGCCGGTCCCAAAACCCGTTATCTTTCCACTCCGACATTGCTTTTTCCAATGACTGATTAAAACATATTATATTCACATATGATTTTTTTACGTTTTTCAAATAAGAAATTTTCTTCTTCTTTTCTTTAAAAAAAATTAATAAAAATATTTCGTAGTTTCTTATTTTACTTTTTAAACTTTTAAAAATTCTACTTCAAAATTTTTGGATTAATAAATTTAATAATTTATTTTTAAAAATATTCTTAAATTTTCAATACATAAATAAGTTTTCATCTACTAGTCATACATAAAATTCAATTTTCGAGAAACAAAATGTGTTATTTTTGCTTAAAAAATCAATGTTTTTTTTTTTTACATTAACTAAATTTTATATCTAACCCAATCTTTCAATTTAGCGTGTGAATTTCAATAAATGTCAACAGGTTAAAAAAAAAATACAAAAATTTTAGACCTATTAAACAGAAAATTAAAATTTTAGGATCAAAAGAACCATAAAAACACAAATCTATTACACTTTTTAAGTTGAGAACCATAAAAACACTCACGTGATAGTATGAGAAATTAGACACGACATGTCGACACTTTTTAAAATCAGTTTAATCTTATTTCTTTGATTTTGTTTCCACAGTAAGAACGAGGTTTATGTCGAACCCATGAACATGGAAGGTGAACGTGTTATCATGTTATCGAAAGTAAAAAATCAGCCTTCACAAACTCCTTTCTCAAGCATGTAAAAAAATCAGCTGAAATAAATGAAACTAAACAGTAAATCACATTTAATTATTATACCTCCTTAATAACCCAAAAAAAAGAGAGTTAACTATTAAATTTTTCTCTTCTAATAATTAATAGCAGAACGTAGAAATACAGTTTATCCTTAAAAACTAAACAGCAACCAGCCATTGAGGAGATAGACAATAAGCAAAGTGATAGATACTACATGGCCATATATCTATCTATCTCTCTACGCACTCAGAGTCAAGGAGATAACTGAAGAGAGTTTGAACTTACGAGCTTTCGACGAATTTTGAGGTTGAAACAAAATCTCTGTGCTCGATCTTACTGTCACTTCTTTCCACTCTGAAGTTGGAGCTAAGCCCCCACTTCGGTAATCACGTGGACCGTATAATACTTGTAGCCTTGTAGGAGCTGCAATTGGTATTTATACAGAAGAAATAAGATAAAGAATACAATCACAATAACTTCACCAATTTGAAGATAACATATTAAGGGTAACATACTAAGGATGGTGGCTTAGCGGCTTAGCTTATAGTAATGCTGTTAATTCAATGATAAATGATGATATGAATATAAGACTTGGCTAGTTCTAAGGGGCCAATGTTAAAAAAGAGCTAGGAATGGAGTTAGAATGTTGTGAGATCTTACATCGGTTGAGGAGGAGAACGAAACACCCTTTATAAAGGTGTGGAAACCTCTCCCTAGCAGATACGTTTTAAAAACGTTGAGGGGAAGCCCGAAAGGGAAAGCCTAAAGAGGACAATATCCGCTAGCAGCAGGCTTGAACCGTTACAGATGTTCTATACGTTATCCTATCCTAAGAAGCAAGTAAGAGTTTGAGCATGATACATCCAGATCCAGCTATCTACTTCATTCAATAGACCTTTTGGACACACTCCCCGCAAGATCCAGCCAAGGGGGAACGCTGGTGGGGTTGGAGTAATGGCATTAAAATCCCACCAAAATCAGCGGAGCAAGGAACAGTTCCTTGCTTAGCATGACCACAGAAATATCCCCATCTTAAAATATCCCACTATTCTCCTAAAATTGCCCCATGTTAGAGATGTAAAAATTGTAAACAGTCGAGCGTCAGCCTCATCCTGAACAGATTATAAACCCAAGGTACAACAGGATCAGCTCAAGAAACCTCGAAAAGTAGAAAGGACCATCATTTAAATCCACCACATGATGCTTTCCTCTGAATGACAATGATAGGTTTCAAGCTTCTGAAGCGCAAATGATAAAGAAAACAATTGATATGGAAATATACACAACTGGTGCAAAATTTTTCTTTTTGTTCTTTGAGATTTCTATAATATTAGGGAGAGCTCATCAAAACAATACGAGATAAACATAAATTGAGCTTCCTCAAGATCGCAGGAATCGAAGTTTAAGTACAGCTGAGAATGAAACTAAGGGGTGTTTGAATTGAGGAGTTGGGTGAGGTGTAGTTATTAAGTCTACTCCACCCCTTGTTTGGCCAAGAGTTGTTAAATATGGGTAACTTGGGAAGTAGGATAGGGTGGGGAGTTATTAACTTCCCACGTGGAGTAGACTTTTTCAATAAATTTTATAATAATTAAAATATAAATAGAACTTAAAAAATCATTATTTGAAATCATAATGCAGATCACAGTACTACAAAACAATTTTTTTAGTTTATAAAACTCTTCCTACCTCTCTTCCACTACCTATCCTCTACAATTTAAATTAAAATTTCTTATAACAAATAATAAAAATATTATGTTATTTGTGGTACTTTCTTTTAAACTTAACAAAATAAAATTAGAACCACAAATAACATAAATATAGAATATTTTGAACAAAAGAATGTGTACAATATTCATTTTGAAGTTAATCATGTTAAAATAGCATAAATATATGATTTTTTATTTTTTAACTTAGTTATTTGTATTTTAAAACTTCAGACAATTTATTTCATTTTAAACTAATCAATCTTTAGAGGAACGAATATATATTAATTAAAACTTTTGAAAATCCTATAATTGAACAGTACCAACAAGATTGTAGAAAAAAAACAGCCAATGTAAACAACGACTCAATAACTTCATATTAAGAAACTTTGCACTCCAAACACAGACAAAATAACTCTCCCAAACTATTGGACTCTCCGTACTAAACAACTCTACACCCTAACTAATCAACACGGATTAAATAACTCTCCAGACTGGATTAAAGAACTTCATGTTAAATAACTCTGGAGCACACCTCTAAGAGAGAATAGAAGCAATGGAATCTCCATGGCTGGCTAACTTAATAGATTTGGGATGACACAGACAAGTACAATGTTAGAGAAAATGGAAAATTAGAGGGAAATTAAGAGCTGATCAATGAATAGTAAATGTTGAAAATCATGAATTACTGACTCATCCATTTCATAACATAAAAGTGATAAAGCAAACAGTTGAAGACTCTTATCAAGTAGTAAAAATGCAGAACATTACCGAATCCAAGCATGCTCGTCTTTTGAATGGTCAGATGACTAATTTTTGACCGTTTGATATCTCTCAAATCCTGAACATCTTCTTCCTTGCCCTTGAATTCCAGAAATTCTCCTAGTATATATTTCCCTTTGAGCTCCAATCTGAAGAAAAGGGAAAATAAAAGTTCACACAAAAAGTATTAGTTTTATTTTCTTCTATTTCTCTCTCTTCTTTACAACCTTCCGATCTTAAAGTTCAGATAACCAACTCTGCATGAAGGAATAAATTTGACCAGAATAATAAATAAAAATGCTAAAGCACGAGTTTTGTAATCATCCATAGTCCTATACCAAACCCGATCCTGGTCACACATCACTGGTAACCTACTTGAGCCAAAAAAAAATATCTATATGTGAAGCTTTTTCAATCTCTTTTTTCATTTTCATCATTTACTAAAATGCTGTAAAATTATGTGCACATGTTAGTAATAACAATAAGCATGTTTGCTATGAAAAAACAAAAATAAAATAATGCATTTTACGGATTTTTCTTTTCTTCTTCTTCTTCTTTTTTTTTTTTTTTTTTTTTTTTTTTTTTTTTTTTTTTTTTTTTTTTTTTTTTTTTTTTTTTTTTTTT